CCCGGACACCCCTCCCCCCAGCTCTGCTTCCCACCCCCACTCCTCGCGTCTAGCCCCTGGCCCCTCCTCCCACGCCAGCTCTGCTTCCCTCCCTGCCACCCTGCTTCATTCCCTCATTTTGCCAGCTCTGATTTTTTTTTCTTTCTCTATTAACTCCCTAACCAGTGATCCTACACCCTTGCTTTCTCTCTCTGTCACTCACTCCAAGACTCCCAGTAAACATTCCATTTGTATTTTTAGACTCTGAAACTGATCATAGTGAAGGCGGACCATGTAAACTATTTGCTATGTTGTTGTAGTCATGTTGGTCCCAGGATATGAGAAGAGCTAGGAAGGTGAGATAATATCTTTTATTGGATCTACTTTAGTTGGTGAAATAAATAAGCTTTCAAGCTTACACAGACACCTGAATATGAGCTTGCTGTAAACTCAAAAGCTTGTCCCTCTCGCCAACAGAAATCTTGTTCAACAAGAGATATTACTCATTTACATTGTCTCTGTCATATAAGCTATTGTCAGGGATCATTACTTTCACTGGCTTCAATGAAGTTATTACTGCAATGAATTTGGCCTATTACTGGTCCGTTCCAGTTGTAATTATTTACCTGTTTCCAGTGCTTAATCTGTGCCAGGGTTTGCCAAGGCTGAGTCCCAGCTCTTCTCAGCTTAGCAGTTTATACCCTGACACCTCTGGACTTGCCATATCACTTATGAATGTAAAACAGTTGCTTGAACCCAACAAGTTTTCATCACAAGTTAAGCACTGCTTGTTTCTTATACTAATTACCAAATGATATTCACTCCACCTACTCCCATTACTTATTGAAGTGTTTTCTTTGTCGCACTGAGAGTGAATTAATATTTTTGGCAAAAGTTTGATCATTATTTTAAGGTATTGGTGGTAATTTGTACTGATTGTCTCTTCATAAAATGTAGGCTTCCTTTGATATTTATTGAAACACAACAACTAAGTTAAAGAGAAAATAACCTATTTACACTTAGGGGAAAGTCACAGGAGTCCATTTTCTCTGTATGCAGAGACACGCTGTGGAATTGTTTACCAGAAGTGCAAGTTTGAAGGAGACTCAGAAGAAGAGGTCGTTACTGATTAAGCAACAGAGCGAAAAAAAACAAATCCTCTAATGACTGTGTTCAGACTGAAGACTGAATAGGAACTGCACTGCCCACACGGCAATTGACTCACAAGATAAAAACTTCACAAGAGATTCCAAAAAAGATGCAGAGCAAGCAGCAAACAGGAATGATAACAGCAACAAATTAGCCTCTGATGTATTGCTAATAAAGTCAGTGGAATTTCATCAGAGTTGAATTAAATCTAGAATCTCTTTTTGGCAACTCAAAATAAATATCGCTAATGTTCTTAGAAGAAACACCAAAAGATCAAGATCTCTCCTACTGAACTGACCTGATGCACATTGGTTGACACATTGTTTTTAACCTTTATATTTAGGGGTGTCTTCTGATGTCTCCCTTTTTTCTTCTTGTTTACATTTCCCTTTACAACTACCCTCAATGGCTCCATGCCCTAGCAATTCTCCCTCTGCCTGAAGTGGGATGGACATGGCTTACTCCATGGCTTCTCAACACCATTCTGTGTTGACCAGGGTGGGGGTTGTTCTAGACTGATGCATACACAGTGTCTCTCCACCCACTGGCCCAAGGGTTGAGCAAAGGCCAGTCCTCTTGGACTCTGTAACTGGGGTGGAGAGTGGCGTTAACCCCACTACTTTATCCCTGGCCACCTTTTTTTACTCCACTTGTTTGAACAACTGCAGTATGGTGTCTCACCTTTAGCCCAGAGAGTGTCTACTTTGTTTAACCACTGCACAAGTCACCTGGAATGTAGTGCTACCAAGGGGCAATACATGTACTCTACCACTGCAGGTAATTACAATTTCCAGCCTCTTTTGTCTAAGCAAAGAAATCTGCCTGTTGCTGACAATGCAGTTGAACTCCAGTGTATCCTGAACTTAGCTTAACTACAAGCCAATAAAAGGGCATTCCACATTCATTCCTGTATGACTGTAGTTTCTGAAAGAACACTGAACGTGGTTTGTGCTTATATACAAATTGTTAGATCAGCAATGGTTAACTTTCTCACTGCAGACAAAACTTTTCAGAGAGCCTAGTAACAAGAATTCTTATTTAGTTTGATTCTTGTATCTCCCGGTTTGCTGCCTAATGTTGCTTCTTTTGCATATTTGCATAGCTATACCTGTTAGTATGGCATTCATGACAAAGCAATAGGTCTACAGCACTTCACAAACAGTACATCCCCATTTACAAGTACAGCTGAGAAGCAGTCTGTAAAGTGCCTGTTCTGTGAAGTTTGCGATATGAAACTAGTGAACTGGAGAAGATTGCAGAACTGGGATGAAAATTTTAGGAGAGCCAGTTAAACATTTCAGTAGAGCTTTGTCAGCAATGCAGAGCTATATTTGAATCAAAAGAATATAGTTTAATGGAAAAAATAGAATACAGTTTTATATTCTGTTAACATGAATAAATTCCCTTTAATGTGTACCATGTTACTGATAATGTTTCCATTTCTCCAGTTAATTTTTGGGTAGAGTTTCCCCACATATTGTTTAAAGAAAAGTAAACTCATTTGTAGGTATCATACAGATACAATCAAATTGTAAAACTTTTATGGAATATTTTAAATTCTAAGGGCAATTTACTAACTAAATTTCAGTCCATTAATGCTTCCTTATTTGTATCTCAGTAAGAAAGCACCCTAATTTATTACAATCTGTTACATTTCTTATTTGTTTTAAATAAAGAGAGGTTCTGACTTCCCCTCCCCCAAAATAAGTTACCCTGATGGAAAATGAAGGGTTATCCTTCTCTGCTCACATGGTCTTTAAATTACAGGTGTCTCTGTATTTAATCTGTTTTAAACATGAAATGTCAAAAATAGAAATACCACAGAACACCTGTCATAACAGCGGCTTACTGTACCATTTTCAGTTAAAAGGATGTGTTGTCTTTTTTTAATCTACAAATGATACAAAAAAAGTTGCACATAAAGTGCATCTCTGCTGAACTCATGATGGCTTCACTCTTGTGTGATATTTATCTCCAGGAGTGAAGAGACTCACTAAGCTATGAGCAGCAAAGCCGCAACAAAGTTAACAGGGTTTGGTTCATGAGCAAGGATAAGTTAGCTGTCTAAGACCTAATCTATCGTGTATGGCTCAGGTTTCCCATCATCAGTGCATATAGGGAAGAAAAGGTCTTTCACTGTATTTTGCTTTGAGTATAAGGCTGTGTATGCTTCCAATTTTAAAGGAACGTGAAGTTTCTGCATTATTTTAGGCCACAAAGTTTAGTGTGAGAGGAAGTGTTTTGAAATCATATGATACAAGATAATGATACAGGAAGTTACTTGTGGTATCTTTTAGTGTTGAAAAAAATCTCTTCATAGAATTTGTTTTCATACTTAGGAGACACCTGGTGACTTAAGAAGTCTTTGAGGAGGCCCCTTCAGTGGTGTCTTTTAAAGGTGTTGCATCTCTAGCAAAAAGCATAGTGCATAATTTTTAGGTTTTTGACAGCATAGAATTAGGGTATGTCTACACTGCAGAGTTTTTCTGGAAAAACTGCCATTTTTCCAGAAAACCTACACTTACATCACATTGCTATTGTGTTCTTTTGACAAAGTCGAAAGAATGGAGTTGATAAACCTCTTTCCACGAGGAAGAAGCCTTTCACATGTGTGAATGTGGAAGTGGTTTTTTTTTCCCCGGAGTTGATAAACCTCTTTCCACGAGGAAGAAGCCTTTCACGTGTGTGAATGTGGAAGTGGGTTTTTTTTTCCCCCCCCAAAAGAAGAGGCCTCCAGAAAAAAGCAAAAGTGACCTGGTAGCCACTCCATTCACAGTAATCACAATTGAAATGTGAGATAGCATCCACATTGATTGGACGCTATCTTTTGAAAAAAGCACATTACTTTTTCATTGCGCTTTTGCTATGTTGGACGCTCTTTTGAAAAAAGTTTTTCCGGAAGATCTCTTCTGGAAAAGCTGGTTCCAAAAAAAGCTTGCAGTCTAGACCTAGCCTTAGCAAAATCTAGAGCATTCATAACTGTGCTACTGTCATACTTCTGCAAAAATACCCTGATTCAGGACAGCATCTCTATTATAGACAGTACTTGATTACATACATCAGGTTAATTTAAGTCGGGGGGGGGGAACGTCTTTTGCGTCGAGGCTACTGACCCACAGAAAAATCAGTCAGGGACTGCACACAAGTGAAAAGCATAAAAACCCAAAAAAGGTGGCCCCTGACTGAGAAGTAGAGAGATTCCCTACATTCCCCTTACACACCAGAGCCTAGCAGGGAGCCCAGTCTAGTAGATCTTGTATGCTCCAGCCCCGTGGTGGGACAGGAAAGGAGCTGGAGCACCAATGCAGGCTTCCTAGTGTTGGGGCAGCTCTGAGCCTCGGCATCTGGGCCTGAGGTTCCTCACCCCTGATTTAAGTCAATGTTAAGTACAAAATTAAATGCTGTCCTGAATTGAGACCAAACAATAGAATGCTTATGAATTGCGCAGAGCAATGTTGTCTAGGGGTATGTCTACACTACAGCGTTATTTTGAAATATCTGATTTTGAAATAACGCATCTACACACAAAATGCATTTAGAAATAGTGTTTTTCTATTTCGAAATAGCGCGTCCACATTGAGTGGATGCTGAATTGCATTTAAGGCTGGTTGGAACCGGTTCCGGCAAGGCATCAGGTCAGATATTGCCTTGTGGCCAAGGCAGCCAGCAGGGCACTCTGGGAAAGGCTAGATACCCCCTATTTCGAAATAAGCATCTACACAGCGCTTATTTCGAAATAGCAATTTCGAAATTGGCACTATTCCTCATGGAATGAGGTTTACCAATTTCGAAATAAGCCCTCTGCCATTTTGAATTAATTTCGAAATAACGGAATGGCTGTGTAGACGCTAGGAAAATTATTTCGAAATAAGTTTGCTGTGTAGACATACCCTAATAGACTAATTTAGAAGCAGGAGCCAGGAATTCTTGGGTAATACCAACTCTGTCGCTGATTTGTTGCCTGTTCTTCAATGTTAACTGCCCCATGGATACAGTTAATCTCTAGGGCTGAATTTGGCCCAGGTTGTCATGGGTACATATGATTGGATTATATGCCATGCTCAAATCAGCCACTTTGAGAATGAGATAATATTGTAATTTGAATCTTTACATTTGATTATCATAGTTATCAATTAATAGTGCACCATGTAATTAAAATAAAGAACTACTGCTAAGTAACAGGGCTATGTCATTACTGTATGTACTTTACCTAATATTTTTAACAAGATACTAAAGAATAACCCATATTATTTTACTAGGGACCCCATGCTGGGGTGGGTGCAGGGATGCGACTGCTAAGTAGGAGCTTAGGAGTTAATGGAAAGGCCTCCAATAGCTTCAAGGTGTATAAAGGAACACAGCTCTATGCCCCCCCCCTTAAAATGGTGCAGCATATGGTCTCTTCTATGATACAACTTACTCTTCTTTCATGTCTTTATACATTTTAAACCCATGCCCACAAATAATTCAAAAAATCAGCTTTTAATGTGAGTCTGAGATAGGGATGTAAAATGTTAAACAGTTAACTGGTTACCCAGTAAGCATTAGCTATACCAGCATGCTTACCAGGTAACTGGTTAACCAGAGGGGCCAGAACACATTCCAGTCTGTAGGGCCAGAGCAGCCCATAATGCAGCTGGGCCAGAGCAGCTCCAGCCAGCTGCGACGTGGCAGGGCTGAAGCAGCCCTCCACTGGTGGCTGGTGGTTAAACAGTTAAATAGTTTAACCAGTTAATTATTTTAGTGGGTTTTTAACATCCCTAGTCTGAAGAAGCATCCTTTCCAGTTTGGTATTAATGCAGCACTTTCTCATCTACCAGGGAGCTCTTTCTACCAAATTATCATTTTTGATAAATGCAAAGTAATACACATTGGAAAACATAATTTCAACTATAAGTATAAAATTATGGGGTCAAAATTAGCAGTTACTACTCAAGAAAGAGATCTTGGAGTCATTGTTGATAGTTATTTGAAAACACTCTGTGTGGCAGCAGTTAAAAAGTGAACAGAATGTTGGGAATCATTTAGGAGAGGATAGAGAATAAGACAAAATATCATATTGTCTCTATGTAAATTTATGGTATGCTCATGTTTTGAAAACTACATGTGGTCATTTCAGCTAAAAAAAATCTCTATGTAAATTTATGGTATGCTCATGTTTTGAAAACTACATGTAGATGTGGTCATTTCAGCTAAAAAAACCCCCCCAAAACCCCGGAATTGGAAAGGGTTCAGAAAAGGACAATAAAAATTATTAAAATATGCCATGAGGAGAGATTAACAAGACTGGTATTTTTCATCTTAAATAAGTGTTGATTAAGGGGGGGATATGATAGAGATTTATGAAACCATAATTTGTGTGGAGAAAATAAGAAAATATTTATTTATTCCTTGACGTAACACAAGAACTGGGGGTCACCAAATGAAATTAATAGGCAGCAGGTTTAAAACAAACAAATGAATGTATTTTTCACACATCACAAAATCAAACTGTGGAACTCCTTGACAGAGAATGTTGTGAAGACCAAGAATAAAATAGGTCTATCAATGTCTGTTAGACAGGATGTGTAGAAATGGTGTCTCTAGCCTCTGTTTGCAGGAAACTGAAATAGGTGACAGACAATGGATCACTTGATGATTATCTGTTTTATTTTGTTTTTTCATTCCGTCTGAAGAACCAGGCATTGATTTCCATCAGAAGACAGGATACTGGCTGAGATGGACTTTATATAAATCTGTAGAAGCTACACTAAGCTGGATGCTGGATCATTCTTTGCTTTGTTAAATTACAGCTGCTCTGTGGCATCCATTCCTCTGAACATATTGTATTTTGCTGATTTGTTTCACAATCTAAACCATACTTTTACACACAGGCTTTTAGTACTGAATACACATGTATATAATTTAGTACAGAAATCCTGTATTTACAGGTGTTTTTGTGTATGTTTGTACACACACATACTCTCTTCATTGTTTGCAAAATTCTGTAATGTATGACTAGACTTAAACTCTTCAACAATTTAAGAGTCAAAGGCCATGCAATATAACTTACACAAGTTATGTCTGGATTTGCAACAAGGTTTTAGCTTTGGCTTATGAGTTTGCTGACGTGAGGCATATCTCATCTTTAATTAGTCAATATACAAAGATACAGAATCTGGTTGTTCTTGATCCTTACCTAACATGGGTATACAGTGGGGAGAAAGCGTACAAGTCGATGTTTCCCTCCACTGTAAAGCCTGTGTAAATGGCAGGCATAATTGTAATCCCTATCTTCCAAGCAAAGAGGAGCTGGGGATGAACCATGCTCTCCCCTTGACACAAGTTTTCAGAGTGGAAATTGTGCAGTAAGGAGAATAAGCTACATCTCAAAAGGGGTGAAATAGAGGCCACAATTCCCCGTTTGTTGCTCTGTGCCACTTCTAACGCTATGATCTGTCTACATCGCACAGCTGAGCAAATAGAAAATATTGAGATGGTACAAAATGCAGAGCTATTTCAGTGGAGGTTTATTACCTCTGTATACAGCAAACTAGACCAGGTATATCAAGTTCTTGCAGTTTTGCAAGCATTTTAATAA